TATCAAAATGAAAAAGTGCATCGCTTTCTCGCTAGTCTGAGCTCATATTGCGCACTGGGTTCACAAATACTCAAAGCTCACATGCCACTCCAGTATCCAAGAACAACACACCCGTCTCATGACTTGCCACACTCTGCCGACGCCGTCCCTCGCGCGGGCCGACCTCGCCACAGGTCATCCCGCGCTGAGCTCACCCGGCTCCACCAATCATCACGCTGCACGTACTCTCGTGACAGCGGGGTTCCGACCAATCAGAGGCCTGCTCCAGTCAAGCCGGAGTCATCTTGCAGGACAAGGCAGCGGCGGGCGTTGGTTGACTTAATCCTATAAAATCACAATATCAACATCCAGCAGCTTTATCATGCGATGATCATGCCATGTAGTTCGGCAGGTTATCTACCATTTGTAAAGTTTGAACGTCCAGGCCAGTAACATCCAGTCTTGTTTCGACTTCCCTTGTCACCTTTATTTAGACCGGTCGTTAGCCAAAGGCCGACGGGGCCCGTTTGTCTTTTTACGACTTGGTTGAGGTGCGTGTGTCTTACTACCTCGTTCTGCGTTGCGTCGTCCACGGGCCGAACGGAGGGTCGCTGAACTGAAACTCTGACACGACTCGCGGGCGTACGGGGCGGTTTTCTACGGATAGATCGCGAGCCGTTCCGGTCGGGGTTTCGGGCTTTTCACTTGCCGCAAGGGTCGTTTGAGGCCCATTGTTTGGCACTGGGGGCCGAAAATGTGACCGGCGACAAAACCGACGAGCAGCCGCTCGAAACTGCGGCCGCATCTCGGCAAGCAGAGGTCGAAGCGACAAAAAAATTAACACGCTTGGTTAATTAGATAATTAGATAATTGAGCGGGAAATCGATTGGTGGCGGGTGTTGAGGAACACGTCCAAGATGTGACGTGGACAGGGGCGTCCAAAATGGATCTGGCCGTGCTATAGGGTTTCCACGATTTATACCATAGCTCGGCAACCAGAGCGGGTGGAAATGCATATCTAATTTTAAAGCGTCGACCAAAATCGCCAACGCGATTTTGAGTGACCCACTGTTGCGTTGGTAATCTTCGGGCAAACCGGAAATGTCGGCATTTTTTAAACGGCGCCGGATGCAACACGCTTTTGTCAAAACTAGCCTGGATTGTGGGAGAATTCACATCGCCACGTGCACCAAAGCATTGCCTGTATTTACGACCCATTTACTTGACATGCTGCGCATTGCCCGGTCCTCACATGAATCTCACCTAAAGTGTCGTTACTCCACATTTTCGCGTCGTCAATATGTTCAAAGTATCCACTGGTCGGTCGCTCAGTCGCCGCCGGTGAGAATTTCAAGCGAAACGACGAAACGCGCACGCGCCGAATGTTGCCGGCGTCCTGCAGCCGTCAGTCACTCATTCATCGACCCGTTCGTTGCGCCGAAAAAGGTGGGGCGTAGTGGCGATCGAGTGCATTACCCGAAATCCTTGCTTGGAGGAATGTCAGAGAAACCATGTATATCAAAAGGGTATCGAGTGAGAAATCATTTATGACGGGTGCGGTGGGAGGGCCCAAGAAATGCAGTAATTTTGAGCGAAGCTCACTGCTCCGGCACAATAGCACTCGTACTGGCTTCGCGGGGTGTATTTTAGAGTCGTTCAGGAGCCCGACAGCACAGAAACATTGCGGCAGGCTTGACACGTAGCAGTGGCAAAATTAGGGTGATCTGGTATTTGTAGTGGTAACAAGTGAGGCTTTCTTGAACTTTTCGAACGCAACGTTCCAAACGGAGTGTAGCACGATTTAAAAGGTCGACAATCGCTGGTTTTGTCTTCGTGAGCGGATTGTCAGCTTAGTGCAGAGGAAACCCTCAAATTATGCTTGAATATTATCTATTTTTACTGCTTTACTGTGTCTCATCAGCTCCGACACATGACTCGGTGGGACGAATGAGCAAGCGCTATTGCAACGTTTATCCCAGATTCAGATCAGATCTTCGTCGGTTTGTGATTGCTTCTTGAACATATAAAGTGGTGTTCTTCCGGCATTTGGAGCACCCACATCCTAGCACGCAAACGCGCAGTAAGAGGGTAAGGGAGGGATGGGTTGCCACTCGCCGGTTTCCGTCAAGGTTACAAGCGATTCAAACCAAGATGCTGTACGAAAAACTGGCGTACCAATGAAGTGTGTTTCCCATGGCCCACCTACGTCTTAGAGGGTAGTCAGCACATCACACCCAGTTTCCGTCAGCCGGGGGTCGGGTCGGCTTCGAATGGAGGCCAATTTGACCATCCTGAGATCTCAGAAACTAAGACAGCTAGAAGCATCCAATTCACAGAATGCATCGATCTTTCCGTTAACTCACTTGCGTCAAAATTTGGGGTTCCTGAGTCATGACCTTCCGGTCAAACAAAGTCAAACAAGGTCAAACTCTAGATTGGTGTCAAGGGTGCCTCAGAACCTGGACACCCGTTATAAGCAAAATTTCGCTGGTGCTCATTTGAGGTCAGTGGCCTTGTTTGACCTTTCTGAGGTCATGGTTACAAAAATCATGCAAAACTGCTTGGAGTTTTGCATTTGAATAGGCGTCAGAGATTGCGCCACGCAATACATTGCCGAAAACAACATGTTTACGTGGGTCATTTGATGTCAGTGACTTATCCTGACCCTTCAGAAGCCTATGGAAGACACACAATGCGGCTCCTGTTACGAATCATTTGAAATGAGTACAAGAAACTGCCGCATACAGCAAGTTCTAGCGTGATAAAACAGGTTGGTTTGGCCTAGGTCTGATCTTCTTCCCTGACCATAGGTTAGCTGAACTTAGTCATTCAGTTGTGTCGCCTAAAAAGTTATTTAAGAAATTATTTAAGAGTATGACTATATCGTATACGTATATAAAAGTATACGTCTAATATCCCATTGTTGCATCAGATTGAACGTTTCCCTAGAAATTGTCTTCGCTTAACTCATGACCTGACTTTGACCTGCCGTAGGTCGGTGACCTGGCAAGTTATATCTAAATTGTTGATACTAAACGACTCGTTATCTAATTGTCTGCATGTACACACAATTTGGCATGGCTTCACCGCACCTGTCGGAAGCCATTCCGAAAAAACCTTTGAGAGGGGTGGCCAACTTGATCTCCAACCGAGCGCGTGCTACGGGATCCCATGAATGGTGTTAAATGCAACTCGAAATAACGCAAGCACGAATCATGCATTGAACGCCACAGGTTCTTTCCGATTCGTGTTCGAAGAGTTGTTTATTAAAGCAAACTCGCAAGCACTTGTTTGCCTCTGAGATTCCATGCTTCGAAAGATTTTTATCTCTCACGTACATCAGGTGCTAAAGCCTCAGTTTTTGCCTTAGTGAGTCATGACCATAAGCACCCCCTTGCCACCTATATTATTTTAAAATACATGCATACCACTGACTGCTTGGTATCTTCTGGTATACTGATGGTCTGCTTTTTTAGCATGAGATCTCATAATTGCGTAAAACAATGAGTTTTTGTTTTTTATTACATCACTAAAAATTGATGTGCACATCCTTATAGGAAGGGAGGCTTATAACCCATAACCCATAACATTGTACCATGAAATATCCTACGACTTTTTTTAGCAATTCTTTACATGATTCAATCCGTTGTTACACTTTCACTCCATATATAGAAGCAAAAAATGTGGAGACTGGAAATTTTGGTAAAATGTGAATTCTTGAAATCTTGCATGACGGCTCCAGACACAGCTGGAACGGCACAGGAGACGTGACAGATCTCAACAGCTCAGCTGGTCAGAGCGCCTGGCGCCCAGCTCGCCGAACCGTGGCTGGGTGGGCTTCAGACGGTTAAATGCGTTTCCTATTTGGCTGTTCATGGAATAGTCTGTGGCTGGTGGTAGCGGCCGCGCTAAAGGGCAGATGACGTCAAAGGACAGGCCGCGGCTTGTTAATATTCAACGCAAAAAACAAACACTGCTGGGAGTGAACGCTGATGCCAGAGAGCGTCAGTCCGGGTGTAAGGCCCACGAATCATATCGCAGTGCCCGTAAATATTTCTTTAGCGTACCGCAAATCAAGGGTGGAGGAATTTCCAAAATGCTTACGGAGATACAAATTACCTCTGGTTCTGTTTTTGCTGTGCGGTGCCTTAGGACAGATATGGAATTCCATAGTTAGAATAGTCGGAGTTCTGCTCTTTCCTCTGGCTCTTACGTCACTGTCGACAATGCTGCTATCTGCAAGGTTAGTCATTTTCATGGCATCTTGGCCGTCGGTCTTTGAGCATCGGGTGACAACAATCGACGAAAGGCTTTTTCACCAAGTCCCCGCCAGCTCAATCGACGAGGATAACAAGCAAGAAAAAACGCGACCATACTTCATTTTTAAGTCGAAATAATTTTGCCGTAATGCTGTGGTTAAGTCGCAAAGATATGAAGCTGTTTTATCACAAACAATAACACATTGAACGATGTACACGCACGAAAGCAAAGCAATATTTTGTCTAGCCTGTTCACATACGTCTCGTAGGATGCGTCTCGGTACCTTTCCACTTTCGTGATCTTGGCTTTGTCGTACCTTGTTTCATATCACTCGCTGTTATTGGAGTTAGGAAAATACCGAGCTGGCCGTGGGGTTACTCCACGCGCAAAGCATAACATACCAGAAAATAAATGCTGCGTAATTTAACACAGTGGAGGCAAAGAAAGACAAGCGGGCCCGACGCCACCGGTGCGCCGACGACCGCCACCGGCGCGCCACCGACCGCCACCGACAGCTGGGACGGCACGGCCGGGCGTAGCGGGGGGTCGCGCGGGCAGTAAAGCGATACAGCAGGGCGGCGGCGCTTGTGATGGAGGTACAAAGATGGACATAAGTGCGATAGGGGGGGGGGGTATGTGGAGTACCACATGACGCGCAGTGCAGATGTATAGTCGCTGTTGTTTGGAACACCATTTTCATCCCCGTCAGTTCAATGCGAGGATGACTTTAAAATTATTCCATTTTCAATACGCCACGTATATTATCGGAAAGAGGTACGCCTATCACAGAATGTCAGTGAAAGTTGATTACATTTAGCCGCCATTGTTGATAGAGCATTGCAGGTGCGACGCCCACCGGCAATTATGTTCAGCTCTGCAGAGGGTTTGAAAGTGATGTGATCCTATATCTACTTACAGATGCACACCGACGACCGCCTGTGGTGATCGAGGCGTCGCGGCAGGTGAGTGGTCGCTTGTATCATCCCGAACTTCGAGGCCTGATCTAGTGTTTATCGGAGGGCAGCTTGCTACGATGGGATGCCGATCATATTGCACACTTCTGAATCCAGTCGTACGTTAACTGAAGCATCTCGCCACTGCACGGCACTGCTTTGCCACTGCGCCAACACTACGAACAATACATGGCCACGGACGGCGCGACGACCACCAGCCTGACGCGCCGACAGAAAGCCACAACGCTACATCGACATTGCGAAGGTAACAACACACCGATGTTGGCCCGTGGCACGCCGTTGACTACATCCCACGATTTTCCCGCGAGGCCACGACCGCGCGGAGTCACGAGTCGAGATCACGCCGCATCGCGGTCACGTGGCCTGATTTCAGCGCTCTGTGGCCGTGGCGGCGCCACTGTCGCCTCCTGCTCCTTGTACCCCGGAGTCCCCCGCCTCCGACTGGCTTTCCAAGGTGGCGCTCAGTATGGCCGCCACCGTCTCCATGTCGGACGGCTGCACCAAGTCCAGCGGGCGCTGGCTCTCCTGGGTCAGCACGTGCGGGTCGGCACCGCTCTCCACCAAGAATCTGCGGCATGCATGAACACACAATGAACTTGCCTCATGTCAGTTGAACGACTTGTGGTATCTGGCTTATTATATCTGGCTTGACTTAGTACCTTATTCCCTTTCATTTGTTTTTATCTTATGTGAAACAAAAGACGAATGGCAGCATTGCTTAGGTATCTCTCGGGTGCGCAGTATCAAAATCAATACAACAAATTGTTTAGGAGCACGGTCGAAAATTCGGAAACTAGCTTTTTGGATGTTTTTGCTGCAGAACGTCTAAACGAAGACTTCGCGCTACTGGCCTGCAATTTACCTCCAAAAAGGCATGTCACCTTGAAAATCATGCCACATCAGTAGCAGTCATTCAGATTTTCATCAGATTGGTGTTGCCATGACTTAATAAGGAAACAACATGCATGACTAAATATAGAGCCAGCAGCAAAACATTACAATCCTTCACGATTATCAACGTGTGGTAACCCGCGAAGGCTTTAGTTCCAGACCTGGCCACATGGTGGTGCCCCATGGAGCAGGCTGCGTGCAGCGGAGTCCAAGAGTCCTCATCCCGACAGTTGACATCGGCCCCGAACCGGACCAGGATCCGAACCACGGGCAGGTTGCCGTCCAGCGCAGCCTGGTGGAGTGCGGTCAAACCTGAGGGCAGGGGAGACGATGATAGATGGCGGTGGCGTAGCGGCGCTTCCTGGCATACGGGCTGCCAGTGCTGGCTGCGGTTGGTTGGTGACCATGCCACTGCTGTGGGCAGTTCGAGATGAGAGAGGACCTTCGATTCGGGATTTGCGAAATCCAGAGGCTCTGTATTTCATGTTAGTGCCTCGAACAAATCGATGCTAACGGCAGTGATTCGCGCAACGCTGGGATGTCTTTCACTCGAACTGATGCATCATTAGTGATGCTGTGATGTGGAGCAAGAACCACGCTTTTTGTCCATCTCGCTGGGTTGTTTCCCCGTCAATTAGTGACCAGCTTTCGTTACACTGGGCCCCGAAGGAAAGTCGAGCATTGTTGTATTTTGGTATGCAATACTGCGCATGCGTCGGATCAGCTCCTTTTGTTGAAGGGCGCGGTTGTGCTGCCGTAGAGATGCGTTAACCCTACTTAGTCACTGGCGAATGGCAAGTGTTACAGTCCGTTCCGCGGACGTGAGCACACTGCAACATTTAACGATTCTGAAGCCGCATAAGCGGCCAGGAACACTTGGCTCTGTGGATATCACAAATAGCCTCAACCATGTTTTCGGACAGCTATCCGGGAACCTGCAGCAGTGCAATGGCTCTCTCAGTTATTCTCTCCTCGCAGGGGTGAACTTAGGGGTAGTGTTCCACATCTATATGGGATTTTATTCTCAGGTAGCCATCTTGAACATTATTCAGTTCGGTTCATGTTGCCACAATAACGGCGATGATATCCTGCCTTCCATTGGCCATACAGTGATCAATGTGTATAAATAAATAAATAAATAAATATATATATATATATATATATATATATATATATATATATATATATATTACAAGATATTATTACGCATAAGAATAGCATATGTCTTGAGCAGAGCATTCCAATTCTGCGTCCAAAATTACTTCATTGACTACCTATCTTCATATCAGCATGTGTTTTGCAGAAAGACCCACAGAGGTAGGTCATGACCTGGCTGAAGACCATATGCTCTGCTGTCATATGATGGTTGTGCATGTGAGTTATTACTCTTTTCCTAATATACAAAAGCCAAAACTAAACAGAACTACGGGCAAGTTTGCATTATTTGCGGAAAATATCAAAAATTACCTGACCTTAAGTCCCTGACCTTCCCCTTTCGAAGAATCTGAAAGATATCAACTGTGGGCATGTTCTGTTACTAAAATAAGTCTGAACGATACAAATGATCCATAAAAACACTATGTGTGGTCAAAGTTTTTAGAGGATGACCGATTTGGCCTTAGCTCGGTCACTGATCTTGGTAGATCAAAACTTGAAATTTCCACAAAGGTTGTCAAACTGATCGATAAAATAGGCACTGAAAACTTCGTGCTGCTGCAAGCGTTTACTTTTCACCTGTGCTCGAAAAGCCGTCAGGGGGAGATAACTTCCCGACTCCCCCGGCTGGGCGCAGGTGAATCATAACCAATGGCGCATGGTTTTGCCATAGCCTGTTAAACTCTAGCAGCACAGAGGAGGATGTGTACATCATTCAAAAAACCCACAAAACTTTTGTCAAAGAACGCGTCACGAAGCGAAAAGTGGGAGACAACTTTCGTAAATACAAGGTTTCACTTATCGTGGCGTAACTACATGTGTGATGCAGAGATGTGGGTGAGAGCTATTTGATGATCTTAATTGAGCTCTAAAACAATTTCCTATAGAATTATTTTGGTTTTTTTAAAAATCCTTAACGCTTCAATGATGTTCTTTTACCTCGTTGCAACTGCAATATTAACTCGTTTATGGAGTAAAGCTATAAATAAACCATAAGAGCCTCCTTTACATGCCAGTGCTGCTTCAAAAAGCATGAGAGCCAGCGACCTATATCTGTGTGTTTACTGACCTCATACAATCAAGCCAATATAACTACCGTTCCCCGCATCCAATGCTGTTAGCCCGACGTCAACGCGTGGGTCCCGAGTCGTTATCCGGACACCTCGCTTCAAATAAATCATTCCTCCTGGCTTTATGTATGGTCTATTTCACACTGGGTACCGACTTTTCAAAAATGCTTTAAGCTTCTCCGACGAATATTTCTGAGTCCCATTGTAGATTTGAAATCAACTGCAGGACGTTCGCGAGAATCAACTGCCAGAGGGGCTTGATGTTTCAAAATGTGGAGCGAGTAAAATCACAAACTTTTCGCTGAAAATCGATTTTTGTTCCCCGAAGACTCGCACAACTTTTTTGCCCAATGCAAACTCAAAGTATCGACCAGCTGTCCGTCAAAAAGGTCTAAAAATCGCTCAGTTCAGAATGTTCAATTTGACATTTATTTTTTCACACAAGCGGCCGCCGTTTAAAGGGGATCCAAAACTGATGCGATCTGCAAGTACTGGGAACATTCGTTCCCACCTCCCCATTATATTGTCCGACTATAAAGTACATATCCTCAGAAAAAATGTGGCGGGCTACAGCTGAGGATTCCTATCTCAGATTTCAAAAATACTGCTCTTTCAAGTGCGTCCTTCAACGACTTGTTGATAGAGTCAACTTTCAACCAGAAATCAACAACCAGAATCTTCGAGAACAAGGAACATTAAATAAGTTTGGATGCATGCCAATTTGCAGGTCAAAATGATATCGAATATCCCCCACAAATTTAAACCTTTTTGCCCTTGTCTGCCAAATTTCCCACCTGGAATTGGGAAACTCTTCGAATTCTAAAAAGACGGAAGCTAACCAGCATCTTTAGCGCTTACCTCAAGTGTTAAATTATCAACACACATATACAATGCTGTACCCATAGTCAGGTACATATTCATATATGGCATGACCTTGGTAAAAGGAGGACACGTTCCCTGGAGTGCCCTGTGCACACTACGTGTATGTGGTCCGCAGGGTCTTAAATTATGACGTATCTGCGTATAACCCTTCATCTCAAATGGCTTAGAGACTACAGTCTGAAAACCTTATCAAGACTCTTTCAGACCTCGCGCAGTAATATTAAGCTGAGGAGCTAAGCAGAGTTAATAACTCATTGTAGCTTAATTAGATCTGGCATCAACCACAACCTGATGTATGTAAAATCAAAGGAAATGAAGCGCTGGAAAGACGATAAACCGAGTCAGTGGTCGTCTGCCAAATGCTTTACAACGCTCCATTTCGCTTATGGAGCCGGCGAATTATCTCATGTCATCATCACTCCATCATGTAATACAGCCGCCATCGATAAATTACCCCTGCACCGACCACTTCAGCAATGCGGTACCCAATACCGGAAGCAATACGACACGTGCCTGGACTGGTGAGGGCGGCCATGGACCTGTGCCGGGGAGGTGAACCCCCTCTGGAGCGCCGGAAGAGGGGCGCGGCCAGAGGTGCGGCCTCCTCGCGCCTGGCCTGGAGCGGGGCCGTGCTTAATCACGTGCCACGATACATGCTAATGCGCCTCCGCCGGCGCGTTAGCACGCCATTGTGCCGTCAGCACGGTGCCGCGCCGGCCACGGGCCGAGCGGAGTCGCGTCACTTATGGCGCGGCCGCGGCGCCCGCCGGAGCGCGAGCGCGGGGTGGTGCGGCGGCGCGCGCCGCCACGGGGGCCTCTCATCAGGCCGGCGCCCAGCGGTGCGGAAACACGGCGCGGGTGGCCCCCTCTCACCGCCGTGCAGACTCCTGAAGACGTGACCTGCACTCGTTGCCCGCCGAGCGGTGGGGGGTAGCGAGGCGCACGTGGGCAGATCGGATATGTGATACGGCCGAATATGGTCGGCGCGGGCCTCGGGCAGTGACGTTCCGCATGCATTTACATGTCTGGCGCCGATAACCCGACCTCTTTGTCTCTCCAGACAACAGAAATCGCCGCCTCGTACCCGAAGATTGCGGTGGGTGGAAGGCAAACGGCCCGGATCAGCGGGCCTGTCTCTCTCTGGCTTTATGACAGCCAAAAGGCCGTGTGCGAAGTCTTTCTGGTGCAGAACGATTCAGATGTTGAGTGACCTGGATGACATTTGACGGTTCAGGAACGACATTTCTGACTCTGGAAGAAGGTCACTTCACTTATCGTTCAAACGAGAGGCATGCTAACGCGATGAAGTAGCACCGCACCGTTCGAGCTCACAACTTGATGAATTCACGTTGGACTAATTTACTCTTTCCACATGAGAGGTCCCATGGGGAGTCTTATTGCCCTGAAACCGGGAGGTCTTGAGTTCTGATCAAACAAGAGCAGGGGTAGGGGTACGGGTGGGGTGAAGGGCGCGGGGGTTTAGGGCGCACCGACCGCTTGTTCATGCGGCTGATCAAGCAGGAGTGAACTTGTCCAGCACGTGGATCGAACGGCCGGTCTTGAGTTCCGATCAATCAAAACGGATGTTGTCTAACATGTGGGCCGCACGGGCAAGGCAAAATTAACATAAGCATTAAGGACGCGAGTCATAAAGGGCCAGTAATTGCCATTATGATAAGACGTCAAACATGACATACACCCTAAGTCTGGCTCCGCCTACCCAAGAGAGGCGAAACAAACAACAGCCCAACGTGCCGGAACGAGAGCGAACGCCAGAGGGACGCCACACGCACCTCACGGCCCCAGTGTGTACATACAGAGCCCTTGACCCGCCTGCAAACAATACCAGTCAACCTGGGGGGGGGGGGGGGGGCACCTCGGTCAACTCAGACATCCGGTATCGGCTAGCGACGAGCGCTCTTTCTGCGCGTCGACACCTCCGCGAATGGCTCATTAACATGCAGGCAATCTCGCGGAATGTTTGCGCTTGTTGTGGACAAAACGCCTAAAAGAGCGCCGGGGGTCGTGAAATGTCAAGCAAGGGCACGAGTTCACGGGGGAGGGCGAGTAATTCAGGGTGCTGGAGATAGCCGTAGCTGTTGCCTGTCATTCTTACCACGTGGATTAGTCTCACGGTCAGCAGACGGGCGCCGTTAATCTCACGAAGAGGCCCAAGAAATATCGCCGTGCTTTGGCCTGTAGCAG